AATGTTCCGGAAATACTGCGTCCTTTAAACATATATAAAATTAAAGCTTATTTTATGTACTACAAAATGAAAAAAAAAAATTTGTCCCGACGACCTATCTTCTATACGCAAATGGCTACCATATTCAAAAATATGCTATTTTTGTATTCAAATTATGGGTTTTGTATTTTATTTTAATAGAAGTTGATGTTGCTTTTGCAATTATCCATTAATTTTTTTAAATTAAACACTATCTACAGATTTGCATCGAAGCGTTTCTTATGATAGTGATTTTAATCACTGTCAGATTAAATCTATACTGAACCCAACTATTTTATATATATACTTTATACTTTATACTTTATACTTTATACTTTATTCTAAAACTATTATTAATAATCTTATTTTAAAATTTAATTATATGCTAGTAATTAATTCCATCTCGATATTCAGAGCTGAAGAAAATATTAGCTTTAGTATTAGTGTTCAAACATATAAATTTTATGCATTGACAATTTTTTTTTTGTTCTTCACAATAAAATAATTGAAAGCTAAAATAATATTAATTTACCATGATGTGCATTTTTTTTTTTTTGTCTGTCTACAAGAATTCTTAGCTCTCACTTTAATGATGTTCAGTCAAAAAAATTCAAAGTTGATAACAATTCTCAGTTTTAGAAATTTATAAAAAGTTCTCAAAATTTTGCGCAGCCATCAAAAACGATAAAAATCACAATTTGTTCATACATTTCAATGATTTAGATGTATATCACATTTAATTTTTCAAAAGGTACCTTACGTTCATAAAAAAAAATTTTCCCAACGACCTTTTTCTACGAAATGTTAGCTACTAAATTGAAAAAAATTACACAATTTTTGCATATAAACTTACTTTATTTTCAATTTTCGTTAATATTCTGAAATGTCTAGAACCTTAAACCTATATAAAATTAAATCTTTTTAAGAGTATTTTATGATAAAAAAAAGTAAAATATCCTGACAACTTAACAAGTATTTAAGCAAGATTTTATAATTTATTATAAAATTATAATTATACAAATTATTGTTAAATTTAATAGTCACTCATTAATGTTTTTTTTATAATAGTAACTCTACTGTGTATTATTTGCTTTAATTTTGATATTTTGATACCTTTTTACAATTAAAATAGACATAATAAATGTATAAGAATATTTCATTACGGTATAAATACTTAAAAAGATTAAATAAACGTATTAATTAGTAATAAGTGATAACAGTAGGCTTAGAATTTATAAGTTGGTTACCCTCCTTAAGCAACTCAAGTAACCTACCCAGCTATAGTTAGGCAAGTGGTGTATAGTTGGAAGCTGTAGTCTGTAGTTTTATTTAATAATAATAAAATCGTTATCAATGCAATCTTCATACCGCGAAATATGCACGTGACGGCTGTAGTCAATCGATCATGTGTACACCTCAGGCGTGCAGTTTTTTTCAAAATGTCCTATTACTAGTAATGGGAAATATCGAATAATAACTATCGAACTATTCGATAGTTGTCCATTATTCGAACTATTCGAAAGTCATTCAAAAAATACTCGAATAGTTAAAATATTCGATAGTTACACATAATATTTGAATAGTTTTAAAAACTATTCGATAGTTTATGGTAAAAATAATAATCGATACGTTCAAATTAATTCGATGTCAACGAAATGTCACTCTTTCTTTTTACACAGACCTTCAGCTGGTGGAAGTTTTCACACAGTACGACCAACGCCTTCGTTATCAGCCACCACAATAAATCCTGTACACTGTGACTTGCATCATGTATACAACACTTCAATGTATGCATATACAGCCTACATAGTAATGATAATAATAATTCTATACTACGATCTGTAGATTATATAGAAATGCGCTTGGGTAGGTGTTCAAATAGATCAATTCCGTTCACTGATCGACTACTGATAATAATCGGCAAAATCGACGACCTAATGTTTGTGCAACGTTCATAAGAACATACATAAAATTAAGACAAGTAGAAACTCTATGCACAGTTTAATATACGAGGCGTGCAAATGTAATACCGCGCATTCATTCTACATAGGAGAATTCAGTGGGTGTATACTCTATTAGCAGTTAATAAAAATTTTTTAAGACTTATAAATTTCAATTCCATAACAAATAATAACGTTATTAAAAAAAATCGAAAAAAAAACACACTGGACAATATAAATTTTAACTATTTTAAATATATTATCTATTAATAGTCTGTTAAACAAAGGATTATGTATAATAAAAAGCAATATATATTGACCTATTTTCCACAAAAGTTGCTGGCTTTGTAGT